TTTTTGAAAAACGGTCAATTTTACAGGAACTTATTATTGAGTTTAGCGCATTGCAGTGTCTTGATATTTGCATGAATTACATATTTGGACAATCGATTGTAGAATGCAATTTAGTACCAATGATAATGATTATTTGGAAAAGTGAAAATTATGCAAATAAAGGGTCATAATGTGGGTCCAAGAGTTGAGTTATTAACATCGAAATGGAAGGAAAGGAAAACAGAAATGCGATGAAATTATAATAAATTATAATTGCGTTATAAGTAAAAGTTATTGTTGTACTCAGTCTACCATTACAATTGGATTGTTGATAAAGAGCACTTTGACTCTCCTTGGCTCGCTCCATTCCTTCTGATTCTGGAAACATTGATTCTTGATTGGTGTAAATTAAAAATGCGACCAAATATCATAATAATAATAATGATAAAACTAATGATGATGATAATAAAAAGTACATGCATTATGTTTAATTGAAGAGATGAACATTGGTCAACCTTTCATTAAACACAAGATAACAATGATGAGCCGTATGTACTAATATTTAATTATACATTAGGATACAATTAAAGGTGAAATTAATGATTCCCGGTTTCAACTTGAAATTATTTTATTTACTTATTCAACTGATATTATGAGAGTAAACTGAAAATGAACTCAGAATTCCGAATTACAGTTTTAACCTGATTAATATTCAAATGGGTAAACTTGGAAATCATTGAAACATTTATTGATAAATTAGTAGCAAAAGTAGTTTATTGTTTTCATATTTATATCAAGTGAATATTTATCATGGTTAACGGGCAATCCATCAAATGTAAAGAGAAAACATTGAATTCTAATCGAAAAGCATTTCAAGCTTGCTCAAGTACCTTTCGAGAGGTTCTTTGCATCGAAATCTGAGAAAATGAATGGAAAATCGAATGAATTTTATGTATCGATTTTGATTCAGTTGAAAGTTTCTCACACGTTACAACAAAAAATCATCAGAAAATGCATTTCGAATTCTAAATGAAAAAATATTTGACATTTTTGAAGTTCTTTTTTGTATCGATTTGCTAAAAATCGACCTTTTCTGAAGAAGTTGTGTCCTTAAAAAAAGTAAAAACTCTCTTGGTTTGATGATCAAGTTCATGGACAATTTTTCAAACGAAATGGGAAGAGAAAACCTTGAATTCTAATCAAAAAGTTTTTCGAATGCCAGTTAATTAAAGAACCTTAAAATTCCAGAAACTTCACTTCGAAAATATAAAAAAATCGAAATGTGTAAATATCGTCTTTGATTTTGTTGCGAGTTTCTCACATTTGATGTAAAATCGTTAAATTCATTTCGATATTGAATTGTTTTGCGAAATCTTCGAAGTTCTTTTTGCGCACCAGTTTGCTGGAACCGAGCTTTTCTTAAGAAATATTTTCTCCAAAAATCTTCGAACATAAAAAGTTTTCTTAATTCAATGTTAAAGTTCATGCGTTTCCATATTTTATAATTGATTGGTCGTCAAGACTATGATTGATTCGTCAGAATAAATCTTGAACCTGAAGTGATTCCAGGATTTGTTTTTCGCTGTTTGAGCAGAGAACATTTTTGACCAATTTGATTGAATGCATCATTTTGAGAGATTGTTCAGAGAATTGAAAGAAGAAAATAAATGAAATGGTGAAAAACCTTGAATCTGATGACAAGAAAATTCATCATTTTTGATCATTTTCCAAACGATAAATAGCTATAATAATAATGAATTTGCCTTTTCACGCAAACAAACCAAATTAAGGTAACAATTTAAAGGTTGAAATTACTTTTCGCTAAATGGATCGCTTTATACAAAAAGAGTAAACACAATTGATAAACGCTTTTTGATCATTGATAATCTCATGCAGTCTAACAACAAGTAACGTTTCAAGTAAGTAATAATAAACTGAAATTGGTAAACTGTTTGAAAAGCATTTTGTTTGTTTATCCAAACAAATCATTTCATTCTTTGGGTAAACATGGCGAAACTCAAAGCAACTCAAATTGTTTAATAAATTGTTAAATCAGTAAATTAAACTGAATCATATTGGATCGTGCACAAAACTACCTGAAAATTGGATGTTAATGGTTCCAAAGTTGGAGTAAAGTGGAAAAGAAAATTCAGTGATATGATTTTCTTCTTCTTTTCTTCTTCTTCTTCTTCATAAATGAAATTAATCTGGCAACAATTACAATTGATATGAGTTAACAGATTAAAGCGATATTCATCAGTCTCTATATTCATATTGAACAATGCAACTCAAGAGTCGTGATGAAGAATGGTAAAGAAACTGAATCAAGATAACTATTAATATTGAACGAAGAAAAAATGAAATTCTACTTTTCATGATTACAGTAACGGTTGATTCATCATTGGTTTTATTGTTCAACAGTTGCTGGAAATTGATTCACTCAACAATTAATGAGAAAATTTTTTCTTTTCTTTTCTTTCATTCATTGATAATAAATTGATGAACAAGTTTCTGAAAATGGAAACTTTTTTGTGGCGAGAAAAGAAACTGTCGAGAAAATTGAACTTTTCCAGATTGAAGAATGTTGATCAATTTTTTTGTCTCCTTTTCACATTCTTTATTCATCGTCAATTTCATTTGATCCTGAAATTGAGTTTACCATCTTTTCATCATTTCTGTAAAATGAAATGTTTCCAAGAGAAAATTTGATTTTTGTCTTTTCCAGTCAACAAATTTTTACTTCATTTTCCTTCATCTCTTCATCCAACATTTCATCAACTGAGTAATATGAATATGAATATATAATCTTTATTTATGCACACAACGATAAGTGAACAAATCGAATGGAGAAAAAAGTCGAAATGAAGTTTACTCAAAAGGCAAAAGTGTAAAGAGTTTGGAATTGCAAGATTTCCTCTTTTCTTCTTGTTAGCTTTTCTTTCTGTTATTAGGTTCAAGTCAAAAAGTCATCAATATTGAATCATGAATGAATCAGGAAAAGAGTCAAATCTGTCAAACTGATATTATCATTGTTATATAATGTCAACAAGACCAAAATTCAAATGGGAAATGCTCAAGGTAAACTTGAAATTGAAGTGAAACAAGAGAAATGAAATAAACAAAAAGAAAGGTGAAAAATGGTGAAAAAAGCTATCATTATAAATACATTAAATCCCAGTAAGAAAAAAAGTTGATGTAAATTGAAGATGAAATTTTGTTTCTTGATTTCATTAAAGTTCAACTTTTAAATCAAAATGTTGATCAAATGCACAATTGGGTCAGTTAACTTGTGGTATTGCTTTTAATCAAATTTGTGATTTCAACTCCCAGTGAGAAAATTTATTATCATTTACTTTATCAATTGAGTTGTTGGGCGAAATTAGTTTAATGACGATTCAATGTGTAAATTTTAGTTGCTTTGGTTAATAAATCAAATAAAGGTGGAGATGAATGGATTAATGGAAGGTAATTAGAGCAAATTAATTTTGTCACATCAAAGGTCAACTCTTTCAATTTGCTAATTAAAGGTGAAAACTTACCTTGAGCTTGCTTGCAATCGATACAAAAACTCGAGTTTTGTCGAAGTTCGCTCTGTGAATATTCAGTTTCTTTTAGCCAACCAGTTTTGTAGCAAAAGGCGATTCCAATCAATGGACAAAATTTTTCTTGAAATGTTTTTGTTCAAAATTTTGCTCGAATAGATTCAAAGTTGCCGATTTGTTGGTCGCTAGTTCATATATTAGCTAATAAATTGTTTTTTGAGAAGTTACTTTCACAGAAAAAATTTAATCCTAAAAATATTCTTTTCCGATTTTGAACTTTTCCCCATCGATCAACTTTTCTCATTTTCCATTTTCTGTGACATTATCCAAATGATTATTGAAATTATAATTGAATGCTGTAATGAAATCAGAATTGGTTCGTCTCAAAATCTTTAATCTGAACTGAAAGAACTGAACTAACTTTGGCGATTTGATAAGTCGTCTCATCGAGTTCTGAAGAGTCGAAATTTATCATTTTTACAGAAGTTTCATTGGTGGTTTTCAATTCATCATGAGATTGTTTTGAATGATTTCCAATTTTCTTGATACAAAACTGATTTTAAGCATCTTTTTAATACTTTTTTAGCAACTGCAATTGAAAGCCTATAAACTTGAGCTGAGTTTCTGTCTGAAGTTTTGACGCAACTGCGCTCCAATGAAATGAGTAAATGAATGCAAAATTGTAATTTAAATTTTATAGTTTTTTATTTTATTGATTCATTATTAATAATATCATACGATTGACAGTTGATTTGCTTTTTTGTAGTTTCATTATTGATATCTTTGAATGCAAAAGAAAGGTGAAGACAAAGAAACAATGTAAATGTTGATTGTAATTGATTAACACTTGGCTGATTAAATTATTAAATAATGTTTAATCTTTTCTCAATAATATTAATCAATAGTTTGGTTTGCTTTTTTTCATATTAACTGATTAAGTGCAATATATTATCATTATTATTATATACAAATAATGTGTTGTTTTTGGACAAATGTTATCATTTTTGCTTCTCAAAACCAAACCGACTCAACTTTGTCAGCTTTTCCCAATCGTTACAATCAATATCAACTAATCATTACCAAATAACTAATAATATGATAATAATGGCGAGAAGAAAGAAAAGGATAAAATGGTCAGTCTAAAGGGTTTTGGATGTTATTAGCAAACGGGTCAAGTTTTGAAGAAACGCAAATGAATTGAAATGAGAATCGCTATTCTCTTTGGTAAGGAAAAGTATTAAATGATTGTTTACAATTAACGACCAATTAACATTTGCAATTAACTGATCGTTTACGAAGCTTAAATATTAAAGGAAACAAATTATGATTGATTAATTGTTAATTTGGATGAGAGACTTTTCCTTGTTTTTTGTATCGGTTTATGTATTAAAGGAACGAGAAGAAGAAAGAAATGAAAACGTAATTCCGTTAATGATGATGAAGATTATGAAGGTTATGATGATGATGCTGATGATGTTGATGATGAGGTTGATGGTGATGATGAAAATAAATACAAATTAGAAGTTTGGTGGGTAAAAAGGAATTAATTAGCTAATTAATTACCATCAACTTCGATATCACTTAAATCATTTTCTGTTGCTTTCATTGCATCTTCACCTTCACCTTTGCTTTGACTTGGATAATGATTGAGCTTATCGTCTGAATTTGATTCATCTTTTTTATCTTCTTCTTCTTCCTCTTCCTCTTCAACCATCATGTTGGACTTGGGCCTTTCAACCTCATCTTCACTCATCTCATTGGTTGCATTGTGATGGTTGACTTCGGTTTCATTGTCGGAGTTGTCTGAATCTTCATTTTGAGATTCTTCTTCGTCTTCCTCTTCCTCTTCTTCCTCTTCTTTGGTATTCATTTGGATCAACATTATTGGTGTTGGTAAACCTCTGGATCGAGTTGGTCCCAAGTCAATGGGTCCATTGTTATCATCCAGATCATCTTCTGGACTGCTGGGTCGTGGTGAGGAGGACATGAAAGAGGCCAAATCATTTGAATCGGAATCATCGTGATCGGATGAGGGTTCATGATTATCTTTGAACAAGTGTGATCCCTGATACAAATGACGAGAGTTGGCTTTCCTTGAATCACGTTTACTCATTAATAGTTGATTGGATGATTTGGACGAACTGTGTTTTGACCCTGTTGCCAGTGTTCCTGTTCCTGGTGTTATTGTTAACGATCCGGTTGATGAGGTTAATTTAGGTTGATTGGGTGAGCTTGATAGGGGCGAGTTTTTATTGCAATTAGAGAGAAGATTTTCAATGGAAAATGAATTGAATTTTGATTTGAATGCTGAAGGAGTTGAAGAGGAACAAGAAGAGGCTGATGTCAGGGTGGCAGTTAAATTTTGATGCAATTGATGAAAGTGGTGGTGGTGCGAGTGGTGGCTTGAAAGGAGTGACGAGAATTGAGCATTTGCCGGTGAAAAGTTTCCACTTGAACCGATTCGACCAGCAAGCCCGACAACATTGGATGATCGACTGGTTGACAAAAGATGCTGAGAAGCGGAAGATGATGAACCGCCAAGTTTACCATTTACCTTGTTTGAAGTGTTACAACCATTAGTGTCATTGTATGCTGATGATGAGTTTGGTAGGCTGGTTGTTGTAATGGTTGTTGATGATAATGAACCTGAAGGTGTTGAACCTGAAGAAGAGGAGGGCGATAATGATGAAGATGAACATGAATTGGGTGATAATGATAATGATGTTGAATGGTGATGATGGTGTTGTTGGTGGTGATGGTGATGATGATGTGCTGAGGAACCGCTTCCATTGCCGCCATTGGAACCATTTCCACCCATTCGATTAAGTGAACTAATTGGTTTGGACATTATGTCATTTACATCCAAACTTAGTCCGTCAACGAGTAGAGAGTAAGTCTCATAGCCGACCAAATCGCGAGCCTCTTTACGGCTGTTCAATGAACGCAACTCAATTAGACTTTGAATTATACCCTCGGTAAGGGTGGCCGTGTTGACTCCGGGCTTTGACTTTGACTGTTGCAACCGTTTAGCTTGCCTTTCCAATTGTTTTCGCATCTTCTTTTCCCTTTTATCACGATCTCGTTTAACTATTTCATCGGGAGGAATTGGATCGCCTGAACAGGTTTGTGGATGAGCGTTGTGGGCAGGTCGACCTGGACCTTTCTTTGTGTGCTCCTTTTTACGCCATTTGGCTCGACGATTTTGAAACCAAACCTGAACAACAAATAAAAAATGAAGGAAAACAGAGTTAATAAAAAATCGATAGTAAAACAAGAAAAGGCAAACTCGATCATTAGCGCACCAATTGACCAAAAGTTAAACAAACTTATAGAGAATCAAGATTTTTTGAAGAATTGACCAAATTCTGATTTGAGTTTTCGAATTCGATGAAATTTTGGAAAGTGAAAATGAATTTTTAGATTTCAAGTTAGTCTGTTAAATTCACATGAAATATTTGACATCAGTTTTGTCTGAACTTCTCTTGAATTGTTAGATGAACAGTGATCTAAAGATAAACTTCTAGATACGATGAGTTTCAATATGCATTTGTATTTGTGATTTCATTTGAAAGAATAACATATAAATGAAGGTAATTTGAAAATTTAAATCTTGATTTACTTAAAGAGTTTCAAGTTTTCGAATTTCTGAAATTTCGAAAAGTGAAAAAAAATTTCTTTAGATATTTAGTTTTTCGGTTCAATTTCTGAGAATCGATTAAGAGTTAATTTTAAATCAGTTTTGAGGTAACTTTTGAATTTCTCGGAAAAAGTTGATTCAAAAAAACCATTCGAATTGGATGAAATTCAAAATTTATTTTATGCCATTTCATTAGAAATGAATTTTTGCTTTATCTGATTTGATTCAGTTCTATAAAATGGCAACTAATGAGCTTATTTTTTCTTTCATTTGAGAACAAATAAGTAACAATTAGAATCGGAAATGGCATTAAGTTTGATTGATGTTACCTGAAGAAGGATGAAACATAATGAAAAGTTGAAAAATGATTTGTAACAATTTGTCGAAAGTCTAGTAAAAATGTTCATTTTCACATTAACTCAACTTGATTCATCCTAATACATGAAATGGGATGCAAAGAAGAGGAGGTTTAAAGGTAAATGAATAAGGTGTCGATGAAATGATGATATTTAACACTTTTGATTGATCTATCATAATCGATGAGATCTGGCAGGCTATTATTAATAAACAACTCAGTCAACATCATTTCCATCATTTTCATCTTTTAAAATGGATCAAAAAGAAGATGAAAAGAGAAAAGAGAAAAAAAAATTCCCCAAAAACTTGGCTCATTTTCCATTTATTAGATCACAATTGATAACTTTACTAAACTCACTTCATCTTCATCTATCTTTCTCATCCTCATCATCACCATTTAAAACTCATCTAAAGCCTTGTATTTATATCTTGCTTTAAATCTGTTAAACATAAGGTTTGATTCTCATCATCACTTCATCATTAACATCTTCATCATTCCCTTCACATGATATTACAAGATTTAATCCCGAAAAGATGCTAAAATCTGTTGATCGCCAAAAGAGAAAGACTTTTCATCCCATTTTCCGGTCATTACTGAACTTTGAAATTGAATCGCTGGCCAATGATAATGTTAAATTGCATTTCTTTGTGTTGCTTCAATTTGCAAAAGTAATTTTAAAATGGCAACAATTTGTCTCAATTTATCCTCTTCATCCAATTGACTATTTAAACTCACGCAATAAGAAAAGGGATAAAAACATGAGAAATGAAAAGTTTCCTGTAAACAGTTTTTGTGTTTTTGAAGAAAAATGGAAAATGAAAAATTTCTTCTTTTTTTCACTCAGTTCCTATAAAGAAACTGTTTGAATGATAAATCATTTGAAACGAAATTGATTATTGTTCGTTTGTTGGCCTTTTATCATTTTTACTCATCATAATCATCATCATGGGCAAGGACAATGATGATGTTATTATCTTAACATCATTTATCTTTTTCTCCTTTTTTTCGCCATTCTTTGTTATTCTGTAATAATAATGATAATAGGATAATTATTAGCATTATTATTATTAAATGAAGTTGAAGATACAATTATTATTTGTACTTTATGAAGTTAATCTTTTATCATCTTCATCACTTCCGGAGCAAGCAAGAAAAGATGAAAACACACACAAAGAAGAAGAAGAAGAAAATCATTCACAAGATTGTTGTTGAATGTTTTGCCATGTTATAGGATTGAAGAGAAGGAAGAAGATGATAAATGGAAGAGAAGAAAGTAAATTGTCTCTTTAAGGTTACCTTTTCAGCTGAAAATGATGATTGATCTTTTCTTTTCTTGCTTGCTGGTAAGATGATGTAGAGAGAAACAAATAGACATTGTTGTTGTTGATGATGAGGTTGTTGATGATAAAGGTGACAGAAGATAGGTAAAGATAATGAGTGATTTTCATTGGAAAGGCAAAGGGAAAAAGGTGAAAATGGCTAAAAATGAAGGCAATCATAAATCACACCAAATTCATTTATAGATTGGTACCAGAAGCATTGATTAGTATCATTATTAGCATCGGTACTGTTCGAGTTGAAATGACCAATTTGTCTTTGTTATGATATTTATTTCGATTTCTTCTTCTACTTCTTTTGCATTTCGGTTAAACTTTATTGTGTTGGCTTATTGTGTTTGATAAGAAAGGACGTGAATTGAATTGATGTGTTAACTAAAATTAGGATCACGCAGAGTCAAAGACTTTAATTCATTTGAATTTTGGAGAAAGCTTTTGCGCTCTTTCAGCTTGGAGTCATGAGATTGTTTTCTTGACAATAATTAATGTTCAATATTGTCCGTTGACTCTGACTGTACAGTCCATTAATGAGACTGTTGGTCTGGCAAGTTAGACTGTAAAGTGACAGAGAATCAAAAAATTGCTTTTTCCAAAATTTATATCTTACTTTTTTCTGCAAATTTAATTGGCTTTTTTCTGTAAAATTAATCAAAAATAATTGCAAGAGTTTTGTTCACTGTTTGTCTCTATTGATGTTAAAGCTCGAAAATGAATTTTTTGAGTTTGAAATCTTGTTGATCTTGAATTGCAATAAAATGTTTCGATTTATGCTGAAACTTTGATTTTCAAGTTGAGCATATGTGAAGTGACATATGCATTGCGAGTCATTTAAGGAGAGACATTTGATTATAAATCTGATTGTTAACCAAAAGGACAATTTGAGGGAAGACAAAAGCATTGCAGCTAATCAATGTTTATAGTTGAGCTATCATTTTAGCTTTTGATTAGCACGTATTAAAGTCTCTGCTTTGATGGTCACCATTTCAATAAAATACAATGCTTCATTTACCTTAAGCGAAAAGAGGTTACCATTTGACCTTTGTTATTTTGGTTAAAGTTAACAATAAATAACAACATCAACAACAACAAGAGCAAACAATGAAAACATGATTCAACTAAAGGGCAACAAAAGAGGGCGAAAAGAGGAAGAGCGTGGCATTCATTGATGATATCAAATTGTTAACTCAATTAATAACAAATGAAACCTTTAAGGTTAACCTTTTACTTTTAAACCCAGTTAACCCTGAACAGTGAACCAGAGAAAAGGTGAAAATGACTAAACAGAAGCAAAGACAAAAGCAAAAAATCATCAAATTTCAATGTTAATATGCAAGACTGAAAAGTCGAAGAAAAATTTTGTCAAAAAATCAAATCGAACTTTGAAATCTGAAAACTTTAAACAAATGTAAATATTGAAAAGAGGCTTAAATGAATGTTAACCCGGAACAATTAGTGAATGAATTTAATGGCAGCGAAACAGTTAATGATATTAATGATGCTGATGATTGAGGCGTATCATCATCATCATGAATAAAATGCTGGGAAGTGAATATTTAGATTTGGAAATGTTTTTTTCTTCTTCTTCTTGTTCTTTGACTATTTTCGCCTGTTGTAACAAAGCGAAACAAATAGAGATGGATGAGATTGAAAATGTTAACGAGTAAAGAAGCCCAAAACTCGTCATCCTGATGATGCTACATGATGATGGTGATCATCATCATCAGTCATGTTAATGTTTTTGTAAAGGCCAAATGGTTGAATGCGGGTGCCAAGAGAAGGCAAAAAGAACCGTAAAATTTGTATTGTTAGGCAAAGTCGAAAAGTCAAAACTCTTTTTTTTCCTCTTCTTCTTCTTCTTCTTCCAAATCAAATTCACATTTAACAAATTATTTTGATTCCAATATTAACCTTATTATTTATTGGCACCATTAGAATCCAAATGAATAATGAATTGTAATAAACTCGCTTTGTTCAACTTCTAATGGTGAATATTAATGAACTCGTTGAAAACTGTAAAAACATTGATACCAGTGACAAAGGAACCACTTAAGGCGTGAATCGTCAATCCTTCACCCAACACCAGTTGCCCTTCTGGACTCATTGTCAACGTTATTTATAGCTTATTAAATGAACGTTAAATAATCTATTCAGCAATTGTTCAACTTTGTCCGTAACTTTTATTGTTAATCACAACCTGACTTTGTTACTGTTATTCAAATGACCGGCATTTGATGACAATGAAATTGATAATAAATTGTTAATAAATTCAAATGTTATTTCAGTTTGAATTTGATTTGGAAAAGGCAATTTTGAAAATTGATTCAAATTTTATTTTGTTGTGAATTTCAAATGATTGATAATCGGTTGCTCGATAATTATCCAATTATGTAATTTGCTTGCAAACAATTTTTCATGTTGAGTAAAAAAATTGCAATTCATTTCAATCAACAATCAGATTAAATAACAATACTAATGAGCAATGAAATGAAACAGTTGCTTTACCTATCGATTTACCTGTGAAATGAAAACTCAACCTCTTATCACGCCTTATAAATAATCTGTTCACTGGATTAGTTTACATTCTTGTTATTTAACAGCCAAATCTTATTGTTGTTCACCAAATAATACCAACATTGATTCAATCCATCATGATGATTGTCAAAGTTGAAGGGAACAGAAAAAACGAAGAAAAAGAAGAAGAAGAAAAAAAATCTTAGACTTTTCATCTTTCATCTTCATCTTTATTGCCTGTTTCACGGCTGATGAATTACATGTAGCAATTTGTGACATTTAACAATGTTAATAATCATTATTACCTTTTGTTGTTGCTTGTTCAATTTAACCCATGAAATGACCTTTTTTCAGTGACTTTCAATTCTTGCGGTTAATTTGAAATGTAAATTGATTTGGAGTCTTTTTACCTTTTACTTGAAAATTATGTGTTGATTGGCCTTTTTCATTTTGATGATTATTCCTAAACATCAATCAATTTAATTGACTCTTCTAATTGAGTTGGAATGTTTGATAATGTCGTTGATGAGAAGGAAAAATGAGAAATGGTTTGTCAATTGATTTGAGTTTAAAAATTCATTCCAAGCCAAATGATTAAATTGAAAATAATTGTTGATGGAAAATGTTGATAAAGTAATTGTTGCAATTGATTACTTGATTATTTATATTTCAGTTCATCATCAACCTGAGCAAATGAAAGAAAAGGCAAAATGTAAAGTAAAATTTGTCACGATTATGTTGATTAACTGATTCAGTTTTTGTTCAACTAAAGGTAAAAGAAGAAATAAGAAAAAAAAATTTATTTCATCTTCACATGAATTCAAAATGATATTGATAACTATCAAGAATTATTTAATTGGAACAAGAAAATTCAACAATAAATTAAAATCTATGAAGAATTGGAATGAAATTCATTTTCTCGATTCTCAAGAAAATGTTTTCTTCCATCAACATCAGTAAATCATGTCATTGCAATCATTAAACCCATCAATTGTAATAAACACTTGTAAGTATCCAAATATTAGTATATTATCGTCATTAACAACACTTAATAATGAAAAGATTATCGGTTAATCCGATAAACTTTATCTTCTCATTTGATCCCATTTCCTAACAAAGCTGATTATAATCAAATAATGAATATTGTTACCAATAAGCTGTTTAATGTAAACTCTATTGAGGTTTACATTGATGTTCACGTGTTGTTGATGAGTTTTTTTATCCTCATCTCTTTGCTTTCCATTGTTATAGACAAGTTATGATAATCATGTTCCTATAAGAAGTTGAATAAGTGCACTTTTCATGGCATCACGTCAATTGATGTTCATGATGAGTTGATAAGAGAAAAGGAAGAGAAAAAAAATGTTTTGGAAAATGTTTTTCCAACAAAAGACGAAAAAGATTCAACATATTGATATTATCAGTTGGAATTATCTAAGCTGGGAATAAATTTGTTACAGTATTTCATGTTAACATTTGCACTTTTGGTTCATTGATAAGTAAAGACACTGAAATGTTCAACTGAAGAGAGAAAAAGATTGAATTGAAAGTTTAAATCTAATGGGTTTGAATAGGGAAAGACGAGTAAAAAAACTAGGAAACTAAATCAATGATCCATTAACAGATTTACTTCAACATTTTTGATGATCATTTTCATCTTGTTATTGGTAATCATTTTCATGATGATCATGAGGGCGATGAAATGCTTTGTTTTTATCAATCAAATTGTAGATTTCATTTTGAGTGAGAAAAGGTTGAAAAGTCGACAAACCAGCAAAAAAAAGGTCATTGAAAGCTCATTAGTTTAAGCTTTTTTTCCCTTTTTTTCTTCTTCTTTGAGCATCATTTGGTGACTTTTCATTCTCCTCCTTCTTCCTCCTCCTTACTCAACCTACACCTCCTCCTCCTCCTCCTTATCCATTGTCAACAAGACAAAGCCAACAATGGTAAACAATGATCACTATTAAACTATTTACTCTCCAGTTAACAGTATAAAAGTGAATATAAAAAAAGGTACAATTGTGACTTTGAAACAAACAGACAACCACAATGAGAGATGGTAATGATGCAGATTATTATCATAATGATTATGATTATACCTTTGATACAATTACATTTCCATGAGAAGCTGTGAATTGAGAGAATTTTTTTTGTCTCCAAAGAAATTTCAATTCCATTTTTTTCGCATTATTCAATTCCGTTTCAATTTTTCGACTTTGATCATTTGGAGCAACTACAAGTCAACTCATTGTTGCACTTAAGACACAAAAAACAAAAATCACTGAAGATACTTATTGATGTCCATCGAGAATTGGCTCTTTACTTGCAAAAGCTCAACCTAAACGATTGAAGCTGTAACATTGAATTTAGTCTCCAGTTGACTCGAAATAAAGACGAATCATTTTACCATCTTGTCCTTTTATTGGTTCCAAGTCCAATAAAATTGTCTTTTCATCATCACCATCATCATCATCTTAATAGGTTTTCTCAGTAAATTGTCTTCTAAACAGGAAAAAGAGGTGAAAACGGAAGAAAGAAAAAAAAACTTTTTTTTCTCTCTTTTCATTTTACTCCATCAAAGGATGTCCAACCATAATAGGTCAATTGTTTAAATGATGTTTCCAATGGTCATTGGCTTTTCTCAGTTACTCTCTCTCTCTCTTTATCACCACCGCTGTCATCATCATCATTACTATTATTATCATCCCATACTCACTTCCACCTATACAAGGGTCAAGAAGATGAAACAAAAAAAACATCATTTCCATTGAATGATGAGAGCTTTTTACTTTTACCAAAGACACAAATTACAGTTTACACTTTCCTTTTCATCATCATCATCATCACCATGATTATCATCTTCAAGGCAAATCCATTGTCACCCATATAAAGATGTGTATAACAATCATTATTAGCTGATCCGCTTCAGTTGAACATTAACCAGCAAAAGAACAGAAAAAAACACCAAAAAAAATCAAGGTTTCACTTTAGCAACAACAAGTCATTGTCTTCACTTGTGTTTGCCTTTGTTATAAAATGATCATTTAGAGTGACTTTGGTCAAAAAAAAAGTCAACATTAAGATCATTACAATCCAAAGTTGAAATTGTTTTTCCAACTCATGTAACTCAGTTTCAGGTTTTGATTAATATTGAATGTTAATGATAAATTGAAAAGATGCTTTCAAATGCAAGATTAATCATATTGTAATAATTATTTGATGAACGAAAAAAAGTGTCGCTAAAAAAACGGGAAAAAATGTGTTCTTTAATAACTTGCCATTTCTCATGAGATTATCATTATATCATCATTTTTCATCTCTGATTATCATGAATCTTTTATCAACAGCATTCATCTTTGTTTTTTTTCCTCATTCTTTTCATTTACCTATTTTCCTATTGACATTGATTTTGACTAAAGTTATCATTTCAATTCTCGAGAGCTTTTCACATCAAACATGGTTAATACTTATTGGATAATTTGGACACATTTGGACACTGTTCAGATGAAATTGAGATAAACTTTTCATGAGCAATTTTTGTTCTTCTTCTTCTTCTGAGCAAACCTTTGATTAAACAATAAATTAATCAATAACAATAAAGTTTGCCAAGTTGAAAGGCAATGAACAATTGGAATGAACATGAAATTTGTTTCATCTGGTTAAGTGATCAATTGTTGGGAGAGAAAATCGGGAAAAATCTTAAGTAAAGTTGATCATCAATTTCAACTGTTAACCATTTAGTTAATCAATTGTGATCAGTTCATCTTCATTTAGTTCAACATCTACACCTTACGACCTTTGGCTGACAGGAAACATTATTGATTAAGAGTTGCACTTTTAATTTACTTTAATCTTTAATCAATTGTTTGAGCCATTAAACTTTTTCAATTCGTAACATTAATCAAAATGGATTGAAAGCAAATAAACCATTTTCAAATCATTTTCAATGGAAAAGGAAAAAAAACTTTTTAAATCAACTTTTCTATTGATTTGTGATTATTGATGAAACAATTCACCATTTTACATGCAATTGTTTAGCAAACAATTTGAAACAATTTTGCTTCTAATGATGAAAACAATTTCAATGATTTTCAATAATCAATGATTTCATTCATTTCTCAATCAATCAAAAGTTTAACATGAAATGAGACTATCCTTGATGAGAAACAATGAAAGTTAATTCAAAAGATCAACATTTCTCAAATGATTGGTTAATTAACGAAAAAAGGTTGAAATTTTACCTTCGAATTTCAATTTCTTTTTCTCATTTTTTCGATTGTGATTTTGATTGAATATGAAATTGCAATTTAAGTGTAATATTGTTGAATGTAAAATGAATGTAAAGTGGAAGAGAGATGGAAAAGGATGGAAATGAGAAAATTTTGCTCTTCTTCAGGAAGATAAAAAATGAGGATAAAGATGATCTTCTTTTCCTATAAGAATCACAGATGATAGGAAAATCAAGTCACGAACTGAATTTACTCTTCGAACAATAAGGATTGATTATTTTGATTGTAAGGCAAAAGATGAGCTTATTTTTTTCCTCTTCTGTTTCATCTTGTTATTTGTGAGTCTCTTTGTTTCAATGAAATATTGTTACTTGGATAATGATAAAAATCAAATAGAAAAAAAGGAAACAATTTTGGGTTAAACTGGTAAAAATTGGAACAAGTTGGCTGACAAATCTGGAAGAAGAAGAAGAAGTTGGTTAACAGAATAGAAATGAAATGGTGAAAGATGAGTTTCAATGAAGACGATGACAAGTCAATCTAATCTGAAGGGATAAAGGAAACAATCAGAAATGATTCGAAAAGATATTCGAGAGAAAATTTCTTTTCTTCTTCTTCTTCCATGAATCACAATCTTATCATATAATTGCAATCAAATAATTGGAATCACATTTTTTTCGGTCAAATATTTACAATTGTTAACCTTTCATCTTTCCCTTTGTTTTGTCTGTAAACATTAATATTGACATTTCCATTTGATTCAAGCCTTGATTAACTTGTTTCCAGTTAATTATTTTTATTACCATTATCATCATTATCCATTATAATTATTATTAATGCAATTATCATTAGGCTAAAAAAACGTCAATAATAATAATTATCAGAACCATAATGATATTTCTTTGCTTTAGTTTTCACTTTTTTTTCTGGTTTCTTCTGTTAATCAGAAAAAAAGCTGAAAATTGATCAAGGTAATGATAATGTAATGGTAATTATGATCAATCTGATTGAAGGTGATCAATCAAAGAGAAATATTTCAATCGAAATTAACAGAGAAATTGAAACACTTCAATTCAGTTAATCATGTAAATGTCAACTGACCATTATTGTGATTGGGTTCAGCTTTTGTTGTAATTATTGAAACCAGAAAAGGTTAACCTGAAAATATTTTGGTTTTAGAAGTGATTTTTAAATCAATTGAATAATTAATGACACTTTTAGATTGAACTTCATTAGTGGTTGGAAATCGGTGCAATTGAATCGATTGGGAAAATGATGGTTATGAAGATGATCATGATGATTGAAGATAATTAAAGTTGAAAACTAATTAACAGGAGAAGAAAAAATTGGTACAATTGTTGTATATTAATACATATCCTTGGGTTATCCTGAATCTCTTTTTGGGTTTTTGCTTTTCTTTTCTTGATTTAATTTAATCATTTGCTGTCTGTGTTATTACTGTTTCTACCTTTGATTCCTTGATTGTTGCCAATGAGGTTTAACCATTAGTTGACACGCAATTAGATTGTTCACTTTGGATGCGAAATAAGGTAAAAATTAAAACTTGAATCGCCCCTTAATGGTTAATGTTGGCAAAGGATAAAGTCTTTTCTCCAATTGAATTAACTATAGTTTTGAATGTTATTAATGTAAACCAATCAACACCAGGTTAAGTCATCATTAGAATGAAAAGTTGAAGAGAAAATGTTTAAAATGAAAAAAAAGTTAACAATGTTAACAATCAATGTTGATATTTGAATGTTTCATTTTCTTGTTTCATCTGTTAACCCAGGCATGGTTTAACTCGCGTGGTTAAACTCTGAGAACTGGAAACTCTTACAAATGATCAGAGTTTTTTTTGTTCATGGGAAGGATAAGGAGGGCCAAAAGGGGAGAGAAAAGGTTGAATTGTAAATTTAATCACTTTGGCAACATTGAGAAACAATGTTTCTAATGAATTAAACTGGTTTCAGGTTGGCAAGTTGCTTGTTACTTGTTCATCATCTGGACAATTCTGAATTCAATGGTTAACTTGGCAGTGACTTGTAACATTTAGCTATTATTGTTTGTAATTGTTGGTGAAAAATGTTGACAAATGTACTTTTGTTAAATGATTGTTTGATGGTAAAAATGGTGACACACATTTAGCTTTTTTGGTTTTGGGTAACAACAGGATTGGCATATTGAAATGGACAGAATAAGGAAATTAAGTGAAACAATGAAATGGCCATCAGTCTTGTGTGTGCATAAATGCATTATTGTTCAATCATTTAATGGTAATATTGTAAATATTGATATAAATATAATAATAATAATTATTATTATTAAAAACATTTCATATCAGTTTACATGTTTGAACCGTTTTGTTGAAAGGTTTGAATGTGCTTGGTTAATATCAGCCTATTATGGTTTCATTATTACTCTGTTTTGTGTTGTTCATCATAATCATATTATTAGTGATCCTAATTATATTATTACTGGTAGTAGAGACTAATTTTGATTTTTGTTTTGTGTATTGAGTGTGTGTGTGTGTGTTTGTGTATTAATGTAAAGATGAAGAGCTTTTGACCCTTAAGTGTTTGTTCAAAAATGTTTATGCACACAAATGACCCATTCAAGTTTAACTATCAAATTGTTTTTTGTTATACTGGAACTGGTTGATTGTGAGTTTGATTGATAGCTTTTTCAATTGTAATCAACTTAAATTGAGAGGTAACTTGTGACTCGTGAGATATTGACACCTACAGGGAGACAAGAGAAAGATGATGAATAAATATGTATGTACATAGAAAGGAGAGAGAGAGAGAGAAGACGAAAGGTTCTCGAAAAGTTGAACCATAAGAGAGAGGTAAAAGTCAAGAAGATGATGATGAAAAAGTGGATGATTATGACCTAGGAAGAGAGGTTAGTATATAATGTTTGCAAGGTCAGTAAAGTAAATTAATCTAAAAATCTCTTTTCTCTTTCCATTCTTTCTTTTCCATCTTCTTCCGCCTCTTTTCCAGTCTCCATCTTATACATATTTATCTTCATAATTATCCTTTTCTTCATCATTATGGTCATCTTTTACTCTTTCTCCTCCTTTCTCATTTGCTTTTCACATAAAAGATATTATGTTGTTTTTTGTGCGTAAATATGTGTGTGTGTGTGTTTGTGTCGTAAGGAAAAACAAGAAATGAATTGAAATAAAAAGGCTAATCAATAAGCCACTAATGGATTTGAAAAGCTGAACAAGAAGAAAGAAATGAAGACAGAGGAGTGTGTTGAAGAGAGGGAAAGATGAGTGTGTCAACTTAATATATATTGAGAAGACACGTTTTGATGATCAATATAACTCGGGCGTGATCATATTGACCATTGAGACGAGAGAAAGAAGATGATGAAAAAGGTTGGATAAAAGTTGGTAATGTATAACTTCAATAGTGAAGATGAGGTTAATTCAGGATTTAGGTTGACCAGGTAACATTGTAATATCAATTTGTATTTGATTCGCCAAAACAAATCAAAAGGTATCATCACCATCATCATCAACAACAACAGCAACATTATCAAGACCATACAAGTGATGAGAAATATCATCATAAGAAAAAGATTGAAACAAGGTATAAGAGGCTTGGCTGAATATCAAGTAATCAATATTGTTATTATTATTTATAATGGTGGCAATATCTAATAATAATAATAATAATGATGAAAAGAGGAAGAAGAATAAGAAGGAAAGATTGAGAAGTGTAAATTGAGATGTTAAATAATGTTGCTTTTTGTGTAAAAAGGAGGGAATTGCAATATTACTTGTCTCCCGACTTGTAGATGTTAATGAATATTATCTGAACCTTCTTTCTCACCTTGTTTCTTTTTCTTCTTCTTCAATCATATATCATCTCTCATCTTTTTCATTTTCCTTCTCATTTGCTCTCTCTATCATACATTTCACTCACTCGCACTATTCATTTGTTTCACACCTTCCTTCAATACACACACATATACTGTTGTAGGAAGCAATCTTGTTGATGGTGTTGAGATGCTGTGTTGAGTTGAATTTGAGTATGTGAATAGATATATGTTTTTGTTGCGACTGGCCTTATAAATGTGTGAGAAATTACATTAAAACTGGTTCTGTAGATTTTTTTTCCTTCTTCGTAATCATCTTCTTTCCATTCTTTTTCATTATCCTTCTTTCATTTTCTTTCTTCATTTGCTTGCTTCTTTTCATTTACCACTGAAGCTATTTATCTCCTATTGTAAGTGTTTATCATCATCTTTCATCTAAGGTGTGAGACCAAGTTAAATGAGTTAAATGAGAGGAATCTGAAGAGGAAAGAAAGAAAAAGAGAGATGGAGTGAAAAAAAACATATACATATAGTGAGAAAATAAAGATAACTTAATTTTTTGGGTCGAAATAAAGTTGATTTGTGGTTAAAAAAAGAATGGTGTAATGAAAGAAGAAAAATAAATGAAATGAAAATGATGATAGAGAAGATGAAATATAAAGGTTAAAACAAGCTACCAGATAAGTATCTTACAAGTTAACCATTAATTACTCTGAGATCGTGAGCATTGGTAGAGAAAAGGCTTACACCAAGGGCAGTCTCACTCTCTTCACCAAGGTAAAGTTAGTGAGATTGAGCCTCCCTGGTCATATATAACCTAACAAGTTTTAATTAAAACTAAATTTTTGGTGAAAAAATGATGTGTTAATAGCAAAAAAAGAGGGAAGGAGGTTTCTGTTAGCCTTTTTTACATCTTCTTTTTCTTTTCCTTCGTCTTCATCACCATCTTTTTCATCTCTCCAGTATTTTACCTTTGGTCTGTTTTCAGCTTATTTTGTTTTCTCTGCCTACCTTTCTCTTCCTTGAGCCGCCTCATCCATTTTGTTGATTTACTTTTAAAATTGAAAAAAAATCTCAACCCAACGTTCAAATATTTTCACTGGACCATATAGTTTGGTAATCTGTTCCTTCTCTTTCTTGATAATCATTTCCACTTCTTTCTTTTTCCAATCGCATGTGCAAGATATCCATTCAAGTATTTTGTTATTTCAATATAAATCCTATCCTTCTCCTGATTTGATTCATCCTTCTTTCATCATCTAATGGAGAACGATGTTTACTGCTATCACCAAAAGAATCACCAAGGTTTTGTAACTTCTATTCAACATATCTATTGATTCCTTGATTCTATTGTAACCGGCATTTGAGCTCAGAATATTACAGCAATACTTTGAAATGGCTATTGATTGGCCAATTATTCGTTTACCTCGATTGACCTAAAACTCTATTTATGATACATTGTAGGTTCATCCATTTAGCTCAGCTAAATCTTTGTTTACTTGAGCCATCACCAACTTTCCTCTTTTTGTTTATATCCAATGAAATATGTTGCTACTCCAAGAAATAGTTCATGGTTGATGCTTGAATTGACTTGCATTGAGGCGAAAGTTGAGAAATTTGCAGGTCACAGCTTAGAAAGGCAAACAGAGACTTATCAGAAAAATTTCCTTCGTTCTTCTTCCATTTATTTTGTTGAAGTTACCAGTGAAATGAAGATAAAACACTTCAAGATGAATTTTCCAAAGAAAAAGTTTACAGCTAGCATCAGGTAAAAAATATCTTATGATATTTTGTTTTCAAGAAAAATGTAAAAACAGCTTCATCATTTTAACCTTGTTACGTCTGGCATGGCTTTTTCCTTAGCAAGTTGCATTCTCTTTTTTTTAATCACTGAAATATGATGAATTCTAGTACATAAAGCCAATAAATCAGTTTCACAGCAAGGGTGTAAAATGGTTTCACAAAACAATTTAAATAAATTAACAGCGCCAATGTAAAATTGAATAAGATGGAACAAATTGATGAGATTTGACATTTCACATTATTAGTTGAAAAGGTTGTAATAAACAATTTAACCTTCAACCAAACACCATCAATTTCATAGTTCAAGGTGTATTAAATGATGAATTTAATGGTTTCAATCTTGGCACAATGAAAATTTGATTGATTAAGAATCTTGCAGTGAACACTTGAATAGAAATAAATTAACTAGAAAGAAAACATTTTGATATCTTTTTCAAATAACAATGGCGAACAATTACAGATCAACTAACAATGATAACAATCTAGAACAAGATGCTGATTGAAACAGTAAACATTAACAGCAGTGAAATTAACTGTTAATTAAGACAATGACATTGAAATTGCTTTTGGTGAAACGTGTTGTGTTGAGTCATTATAGAGTTTAAAATTGAAAAAAATTTCAATAGATGGAGCAAAAAGCTAAATGATGCAATTTAATTTTAACCATTTTTCTTAATTATTAATATTTAACTATTTTTAAATCTAATTGAGACTAAAAATCTAATAAGCTTAACAAAAATGGTTTATTCATAGAATCACTGAAATTGAAATTAATCTTGATAAAGATTTAAATTGTTTGCATAATAATATGCAATTTGTTTGTAAAATAGGACTTAATTTGTCTATTTATCGAGCATTTTTAATCATATGTTGAAGTAAAATTGGCTTTTACTCAATTAAAGTTAATTCGTTTAATTATCTCTCCTATTAATTGTAATTTATCATTTTAATGATACATCTAATTGCTGATCGCTTATATCAACATTAAAAGTGTGTTTAGAGGAATGTTAATCTTACAAATGATGATGGATCCAAAGTAAACATAAAAAAGACTTATGACTGAAGATTGAAGATGACGTTTTTCCCTCACTTTTTTGCTGCCCTTTTTGAAGGTTAATATGATCAAACAAGGTAAGTGTTGATTATTGGGTGTTCAATGAATTATCTCTGTTGATTGAAAACTGTTAGCCTTTTTTATCCTGATACCTCATAAAAAAAGGTTAAATGAAAGGTTTGAAGTCAAGAGTCAGCTAGCCAACAAACAGCAAAAAAAACAATAAATACTTATTATATTGTGTGAAAAGTAAACGGATACTTAACACAATGTAAGATGAAAAGAAAATAAAAAAGGAAACGAATTACAGGTTAGATATAAATGCTGTCAAAATAAACTGACCTGATGGCAATCTATTTAACGTACTCGCTCTCTAATATCATTTTTTTATACTTCTCCTTTTCACTTATACAGATCATCTTCAAACATCTACAGCCACCAAGGCTAATGGATTTTCTTGGGTGAAACTGGCCCCGGTTGAAACTAAAAATGATGCCTCATCTTTTACTCTTGCTGTTGTTTTGCTAGGATATGGTTTTTACGGACGAAGACAAAAAAAGAGAGGAAAAAGGAACCATCTTTTTCTCCAAACATTATCTTTTACCCTGTGTGTGTAGATGTATTGAGTGAATTGAGATTGGGCTCGTAACAAGGATAAAGGACTCAGAGATAGCAGCTTGATTGCTTTTTCACCTTGATATTTTTCCAACGACCCATCTATTAAATATAACTCTTAAAAAGGTAAACCATCTTGTGCTTTCTCTCTCTCCCTTTTTAGCCACATGTTTTTATCTTTGCCCTTTTTCTTCTCTTCCTTACAGCCCTCACTCTCGGCACCGGATTTAGTTAGCATGCATATCTATCTATATATTTACCATGGTGATGACGGAGGGATGTACAACTATTTATTCTCAAGTTAAGAGGAAAATTGACAGTTCCAATGGTTAGTCAGTTACTTAAATCATATTTATTTTGAGCAAATGTGTATGTTTATTTGCGTGAAGAGAGTGCTAAGAACAGGTCTAACAATTAACTAGCCTAATCTATAATCATCGCCATCATCGCCATCATCATCGCGTGAGCCAACGGACACTAACGTTTCTTTTTTTCTCTCTCTTCCTTTACAGTATTTTAATGGACATGATACAACTGAAGCTTGGACTTTGAATGGCGCCCAATGTTTAAAGTTGACTGTTAATAAGCTTTAAATACCAACCTTCCAAGAAAGGAGTTGATTTTATTGGTTTATGATAATTTTTCAAATTAATTTAACTTCCTACTAAAACCAAAAGTAGCACTAATTAGAATCACTAACCTGGTCTTGCTTCTCAAATTTAATTAATATTTGATATTTGAGCTTGTTTGATTGAATTTCAAATATCAACAATTTTTTTTCCTTCTTTTGCTCATCGATTAGGGAAATTTAATTATGAAATATAATTTAAATGTCTATCCAAGTCAATATCTTTAGCCCAATAATGAATCTAATTAGTGATGTTGAACCATTTCAAGCCTCAACTCAATTTACCTAATGATTACTCTCACAGTGATTTGCAAATTTAAAATTCAATCAAAATACATATTTAATGTGTACAACTCATAAATATGTACACATTTGAGTTGCTCATTTGCCTACTGTATGCATATAATAGTCTCATTTTCTCATGTCTGAATACCTTTATTGATGATGTAAACCTTTTTTTTTCTACCTTTTTCAGGTTCCACCAATTTCCATCTAGTATTTTCATTCTTTCCTTCAACTAAACAAGAAAATGGAAAACCTTTCCTGATCTTTACTTTTTTCCTCTTCTCTTCAAACAACTCAACGCAACTCAAGTGATCCTGAATCAAATGTCACATCAATTTGCAAACCTGATGACAAGTAATCAACAGTAACAACTCTAAATCATTATAATTTAGGTAAATGCATATTTTACAATTTGCATCATTTTCCATTGCGTGTACACCTTTTTTAAAATACTAATATTGATATCATTAACTACTATTAGTGCTTTTTTCACTCTCACCGCCACTTTAGGATATACTTTTTTTTCAAGCAAAAAAAACATAATTGACAATATAATCTAACCTCTCTAGAGAGACAATGAAATCTAATGAAGTGGCTTTTAATATTACAACTAATCAACCAAATTCAGCATTTACATTTTCAGTATCAACTCTTTTATTAAAACACTATCACACTCATCAGAATAGTTGACAAAAAAACAATCTGAATCACATTTAGAAACAGAAGAAAAAAGTAAATTGCCATTTAATTTCAATTTTTTTAAATTCCCTTTCATGTTAATTCCAATTGCATTTGTGCTTCAAAAAATGATTATGATAATGTCGAGAATTAAATTAACTTAGAATGATGTAGGTCAAAATAGACATCAATTTGATTCTCATCTAATGAACCCTTTACATTGATAAACATATTGTTGATGCTCATCGACTTACATATTGCAAGACTGTTAATGTTCATTGTTTAAAAAAGGGTTTCAATGAGTCGATCAAAATAAGTTAATTGCTTGAAAAGACCATAAATGAAGTTAAAAATAGTAGCTTAAATTGTTGGTAACCAAAGGTAAATCTGTGTAAACCATTTACCTTTTTATATACATTTCATTACCATCATCATAATCATTTTCATATTATTCATCTTATCTATTTTATAGTTATACAGCCATTAACATCATTATGATTGTGATTCCCTATTATGCATTTATATCAAGTTGAAAAAAAGTATTTAATGAAACCAGAAAAAAAAACTTAACAGTTAAAAAAACTCTCATCAATTTTGATTGTAATGATGAGTTTGTTCAACTGAAACACTTAAAGATATCTCATTAAATGTACAATTGAAATGCTCATAAATATGAAGGAGGATGAATGGGGAGGTGATAAAGTGTTGTGAATCTTTTCATTGATAATATAATAATAATTTACAGAAAAAAATGATTCCATCTAAAGTATAGTTAAATGAATGTTGATCTTTAAATATCATTTATTAATACAATATTTAACTTTATAACAATAATAATGGTTGTGATAATATGATATTAAGTGGTTGGAAGATATGAAGAGATGAACAAGAAAAAAAGACGATGAAAAGTTGGGTGAGCTCTGAAATAATTTTATTCAATTCATTCTTAATATTCAACTATCATAATCATCTAATGGTTAGAGGTTAATGTTACCTTAGACACAGAGATAGAGGGGTGGCTGGGGGAGTTGGTTGAAAAGGGAATGGTGATGAAGATAAGTTGAAGGAGGAGAAGTGATGAAAAGTTGGGTGAAGATGTTTTAATGAAATATGGAAGATGAAAGATGAAAATTAAAGGTTGGGTGAAAGTTATTTTGTTGGAGGAAAGATTATCGCGATTATCTGGATGTAAAGGATGTGAATTGTGGTCTTGAATGGCAAGGCTTTACCAGATTAGTTTTACTTTCATTAAAGGAAAGATGATAAAAGGCTCCAATCATATGTAATTAATGGCTGTCATCACTTTGCTCATCATAATCATCATCATGATAGTTGTTGAAAGATGTAACTGAAAAATGAACAAAATCACTTATAACCTGAAGCTAAGAAGAGGAAACCTTTTTGGCAAAACAATTTTAAACATTTGCTAAACTCACGCAATTGACAATGAAATGGGCTCATTATTTTAAACATGTTGATGCACTCATTAACTTGATTTTCAACAATTTACTAACAGCTTTTCCAGTGTAAATGATCATCTTTGCAATAATCAAACATTTTTAGCCAACTTTAATTGTCTTTGTCTCTACTTGCGACACTTGATAATTGAATAATTGAAACATTTACAATGAATTCATGTTTTCACCATGTTAACAACTTCTCAAGTTTTTAATTGTCGTTGAAGTTTAATTTAATCATCATTAATGTTTACAATTAAATGACAATCTTTTTGTTTGAATGTGCTGCAATTAGTTGTCTAATTGTTTCCATTTAGACTATTGTTTCAACTTTAGATTGTTGACAAAATTAATTTTAATCACAAGTACTTTTAACCAACAAGTTGGGTTAAGTGAAAGACAAAAAGGTGTATTTCATCTGAATAAAGAGTTGAAAGATTTTTCTTCTTCTTTCAAACCAAGGTTACATGGGAAAACGTGTTTCTCCTGAAGTGAAGAATGTTAATCAGAACTTGATAATTGTGAAAAAACAAGAATAAAGGAAGATGTAAAAAGATGGCGATGATGAAAAATAAGCTTCTCTCAAGGCTATGGGCACAGCTAAGGGCGAAAAATGATGAAAAATTATTCAATCATTATTTTCATTGGCAAATGCGTTTCCACCAAAACTTCAACTTCATTTTCAAACTCAATCATTATTGATTGCAATTTGAATTATAACAGTAAAACTTGATCAATAGTTGGACTTTTGTCTTTCAATTTATAATCAATTATTGATTAATGATGCATCTCTTGATATCTTTTTGTCAATATTCAACTTGTATTGTTGATTCATTTTTTTCTGATTTCTCTTCTTTTTCTTCTTTTCTGTTCAGGAGAAACGCATGTTCCATGGAAACTTGAGGAGGTCGATTGATTGTGAAGGAAGTGACAAAAGATTTACAGGGAAGAAGAAAAGAAAAGGCAAAGAAAGGAAAAGGAGGAGGATGATCATGAAGAGGTGGAGAGAGGAGGAGGTTAAATGATTTTGTCGTTCAATGAGAAAAGATTATTCGATTGATGAACAATCTTGATTTGCTTATTTATCCATTAATTTGCATCATCATCAAGCTTTATTGTTGATCATGGGATGACACGATAATGGAGATTGATAAGTTTAAAAATCAATGAACAAATAATTCAAAAGTTAAACGGTTAAACAATGGCAAATGAACAATCAATGTTAATGATTTAAATTACAAAACCTTCAACATTCATATATTTACACATGAAAATGAATTTCATTTCCAATTTTCTCGTTTATTGGAAAATCAAAGTTGAAGTTGCCAAATGAAACAGTTAATTAAGTTGAAAAAAACACCAACCGAGTAGTTAATTGTTTGCTTGTCAATCGTTATCCGCCCATGATGGAGATGAGCAAAAATAAGGTTAAAGATCAGCAAAATGTTGACTTGAGAAGCACAAAAAATCTTGACATTGGCTTACAGCCGTAGTTGAGCGTCAAATTGTTGCAATTGTTACGGATAACAATACAAATGGCCATAGAAAAGAAAAGGTAACAAGAAAAGTTGAAAAAAATGAATTCTCGCAAAATGATGAACAAATGAAACTAATTTTAATCTGGCTAATAATCAATCCATCATAATTAATCTGTTTAACCTTCACTTTCTTTCTCTATTCATATTATCCAATCAAACACAATCAAATGGTTAATCTTTCAATTTGCCAACTAATCAATGGAATCATAATTGAGGTAAAACAGGATCAGGTACACAAGGTAAAACATTTAATTGTCTTTATTAATCATTGTTAAACCACTACGTTTAGGGTAACCAGTATTTAATCAAATGATTAAATTGTATAAACTGATGCCTTTCTGAAATTGGTTAACTTGATGGTTAACTAACACTGTTAACTAAAATGCACAGTTTGCTCTAAAGACAGTGATAATGAGAATGATTAGACCTGATAAAAAAGTCAAAAATTAAAATGAAAATGATAAGAAACCTAAAATGAAAATAGGAAAACCCATTGAAAGCAATGGAAAATCAAGACAAAATTGTGTCTTGAAAATTGAAAAAAAGTGTTGAGATTAGATTACATAGTGGTTTAAATCAGTTAAACCACAATATCTCGAAGCTATGAGATAAAACTCTCGGGCTTCGCCCTCGAGTTTATATCTCATAACTTCTCGATGCAGTGGTTTAACTATCACTTATTACACTCTTTGATATCATAACATTGCTATTTTAAAGGCAAACTGAAAACAGATCAATTTTGTATTAACTCATTGAAAGATTAATATTTTACCTTTTCAATTATTTGCTTTATTAGATGAATTTAAAACTGATTAAAAGTATAAATTGAACTAATCTTACTAATCAGGGTTAACAATGAAATGGTTAAATGAAATGTAACACAAAAGAGTAAAAATAATTTGATCAAATCAATCTTTTGGTTGATTAAGACGGCAAAAGAAGAGGAATAGTAACAAGAAAAAAACTAATTGGCATCTCATGAAAGATGATGATTATGTTGTTGAAAATGATGAGGATGAAGATGATGAGAGGTGAAGGGTGAGGGCCTTTATCCGCCCACTTTGGAACCTGGCAAAAATGAATTCACTTTTCATCTTTTCTCATCTCTTGATAATCTTGAGCCCAACACGCAAAACTCGTAATCAGTATGAAAACATTTCTCAGTTGATTTGGTTTATTGCGTGCTTTTGTTTCTTCAAAGGGAAAAGTAAAAATCTCTTTGTACCTTGAAGGGTGTAAACAGGTAAAGGTAATGATCGACACCCACTTCCTATTGGTTAATCAATGAGAGAAATTAATATTCCAATTGTAATCATCTTTTTAATTCTTTTCACCTTTGGATTAAGAGATTATTGAATTTGGGTAAAACTTGAAACATTGTTCAACTTTCATTAGATCATTTTAACACCTACTTTGACTTTATTTTATTCATTAATTCAATGCTCAACTTTTTTCTTCTTTTCATGAAAATTTTCTTGTTCTTTTTTCTCTCTTTTTGAATTTTCTTTTCTCTATTAACTGATTAACTTTAATCAAAATTGAGCTTTTTGTTTCTCAACTAATTGCACTCCTCTCTTGTAATAGCTTTTGATTGTTATTAACCATGGATTTCACGCTGTGATTATTCCATTGAATTAGGTGTCAAATATCCAGGGAGGTAAACGCTTCAATTGAATTGAATGTTCAATCAATGTTTCACCATGAGGCCAATCCTGATGACTCTCAACCACCAACACCACAAGCACCATCAACATTATCCTTCTCATTTCTCTCTCTTCTTCTCATCTTTATCCTTCTCTTACTCCTACTTCATCTCCAATCATCATCAACTCATCTTACCTTGCAATCAACTGTCTGACCTGAAAATTGAAAATTACAAGTTAATCAAATTTCATTCATTTCTTGCCAACTTTTTTTTCCTCCACTTTTGTTTACCTCTTAGGGTCACTTCTTGGCTATTTTGTTTATTACCTGGCAAATTTGATTAGGCAAGTTCCTGTAGTTGGTTGGCCTTAACTGTTAACCATTTAAACATGATAATCTTTTCATTGATTATTATGATTAATTGTAAATGTTAAACCCAACCTCCAACTGACTTTTCATTCAAATTATTCAAGTTTACCCAAAGTTAACCTAAAATGTTTCAATTTTTTTAAATTGTTTTTACAGATCAATTTGAACGCCTTCAACCACTAATTTGATTAAAAGGTAAATCAAAATGAATTAATTCATTATTTAATTACATTTTCAGATTACAACATTTTCCATTTGATTTTCCAATGAATTTACTTGCAAACATTCAATAGCGAGACAAATTATTTAATCAAATAAAATGAAACTAAATCATGTTCATTTCAGTTTTCAATTTTCATGTTTTCACTTTAAATTTACTGTGAAATTGCTCCTTCATTTTCATCATTTTCATCCTTCTTCCTTCCTCTTCATGTTCAATCAAAATTGAATCCCAAAAAACTGGCAAAATTACCAATTTTCAAGTCTATCAAATTTCACCTTAACCATAATAAAGATAATCACTAGCAATATAATCATCAAACTCTCAATAATAAGATCAAAAAACTGGTAAATTAACCAATTTGTAGGTTGAACCAATTTAACAGTTAATAAATTGATCAAGACTTTTTTCCCATTTTATTGTTTCTCCTGATTGAGTGAAAATTTAAAACAATACCAAAAAGGAACCATTTTTCGTTGATTTTATTTGGATAATTGTTATTAATTGCTTTTCACTTAAATGTTTGATAATCATTTTAAACTTGATTTCCTTTCTTACCTTCTTAGGAAACGTTTACAAGCAAAATGATGATCATGATTCTGATGCTAATAATGATGGTAAAAAGTATAATAAACTAGCTGTTGAAAAGCTACTGACCATGTATAGACCTGGGTAATTGGACGATCCCTTGCCTCATCATCATTTTTATCATCATAAACAACATCTTTCTCTCTCTGCCTTTCGTGATAATAAGAATAAGAAGGAACCAAAAAAATGAAATAAAAATAATGATCTATGGATGCAGTTCGTATTTCCAATTGATCATAATTACGATCATCAGGTAATTATTTTGCTTAATTTTTCTTACCTTTTCCTTTTTTTCACTTTTGGACCTTTTTCTTCACATTTAGAGCGACTTTTGCAAAAAGCCTCAAGAAATATTCACATCCCTACCTAATCATCATCTCATCATCATTAAATTGTAATCTCTTTCAACTAACACCCATTGGTTAACCTGATACCGATAATCAAGTTTATTTTTCACTTTAACTTGAAACAAATTATTTCAAGAATCAAAAGTTCTGGTCAAATGATTGAGAAAAGTTTATCTCAATTTATTGAGAAACTTGAAGATGATCAACTTTTCATCATTTAAATGTATTTCAATTACTTGTTGAAAAATTGAAATCTCTTGCCTTGAATCTTCGATCATGAAATTCTCATTTATCAATCATATTGTACTTTTTCATGTTGACCATCAAATTACTTGGTTCATCTCCATTCCAACCCTTAAATATCAATCAGTAAATCATGTTATTACAATTAAAATGATTCTTTAATGTAAATCAGAACTTTTCGTCCAAATCATGACCAATCCCAATGCTTTTATTTTCAGGTTAAACTCAATCATTTTCAATCATTGTTTTCATTCAGATTAACATTTTTCCATGAGACTATTGATAAATGTCTAAAGTTCATCTGAATCAATCAAGTTGAAGTTGTTGATAAACATTTTCAGACGAACAATAATGATGAAAAAGGTTTTGCATTAAAATCAATGATTAAATTGGACAATGAACATTAATTATAATGAATGTATGATGATGATAATGAGCTTATTAAATTGCCTAGAGACAATTGAATGGATTTATGAAAGTAATCAAAGTAAATCTGGAAACAAAACAAAAACTAAATTAACTGGCTTTTAATAGCTTCAACCTTTTTCAGTTGAAAATGTTGCTCATTTAAATCACTTTAAATAATTGTGAGAAAAATTGATTAAACTAAATTTAATTATTTAACATTTTTTCCCTTAAAATCAAAATAAAGACAAAATTCATTGTTTTCTTTGCTTTGCTTTTGCCTTTACATTGCAAATGATCGGTAACTTTGCTTACCTTAAGCTATTATCTTCCATTAGCTAATTAAGTTAATGAAATTAATTGTGGTTAGTCGTTATTAATGACTTTAACCAATCAATGTGAACATTATCAAGCAAGGTTATTGAATAATCATCAGAATCATTCGTCATTCAATATTTTCCAATCCATTTGTCGTTCATCACAAATCGATCATCTTTTTGTTAAAAAGTTATTAATACAAGGAGAATTTAGATTTTTTCGCCAAAAAAGTTTTCCATGAAAAATTCAACACAAATTTTGTTCAATTTCAATTTTTCAAGTCATTAATTTTTCGACCCAAGGAAATGTTTCAAAAAGTATTAATAACTCGGAAAAAAGTTTAATCTTTGTTAGTAATCGAAGTTTTGCTATCGGCATCAATCGAACTATTGTTCAATTTCAGGGAATCTCAGTGAAATAGAAATTACTGGGAAATTCTGTGAAACTGTTCACAATTTGAATAGAATTTCGAGAAAAATTCAAAGATTTTCAAAGTTTATAGAAACAATGAAATTGTCTGAACTGATTAAGGAACAGAAAACTTGGATTTTTTTGCATATTTTATCTATTTACCTGAATTTCACCTTCTCTGATTAATTGAATGTTTGTATCAATCAAATTTTGTTACAAAAATCAATTGAATTTCATGTCAATCTCAACATTTCTGGTTAACTGGTTAACTCTTGATTTTCTGGTTTTAATCACATTCCCTGGTTGGCTGGTTGGTTTTGTTTTGTTCGCTCCACTGTTCCTTGGCTTCACTGGTTAATCATAATTATTTATTATGTGTTATCATCATGATGATAATCATTTGAAAGTACGCATGTTAATTGTTTGTCGATTGTACCATTGGTTTAAACCATTAACCATTGCGTGTTATTACATTGTAATGTAAACAGTGAACATAAATAAACCAATTCAGTTTATCTTTACACTATCTTAAAGTAGAGTCAACCTTTTCAGTTACATTGTCCTCTTTCCCTGTTTACCATGATTGGCTTGATTAAAATGATGCTCAAACCCATTTAGACATTATGATAATGACTGATCATTTGTGAATTTTCAGGGTAAAAATGTTAACAGAAAAGATAAACTAAACTGAAACTGTTTACTCAAAGGTACGAGAGTAAAAAGGCATTAATAGCTTTACTATTTATTGAATATTTGTAAACACAACCAAATCATATCTCTTCATCTTGTTACCTTAACTTCATTTTCAGGTTTCAATGCTGGTAGTGAAAGTAAATTGTGGCTCATTTTTCCTATTGACAAGCAGTAATCATAACCAATTTAACCTTTCATGATCATCATTCAAGCCTGGAGCCATGTTTCATCTTCACTTTCAACAGCAACAGTCTTGCACATTTCTGTCAAACTTTTCATTACAATTTTATTAACTTCAATTATTCTTTTGATAATTTTTCAGCAAATTATCTCATCAAGAAACATGATAATCATCATCAATTGATTTACTCGTCAAACTGATTCTTCATTGATTTCGATGATCCGGTTTTGTGTGTAAATTTGCTGACCGTTAGTTTTGAGCCAATGTTAAGTAATTGCAACAAAAAACACTTGAGATGAATGTTGAGTTGAACTTTTATTTTTCCATTTTTTTCGATGAAAATTGTTTCCAATTCAACCCAGAAGCTACAATCTTTTTTTTACCTTTAATATGCTTTAAATCATAATTAGCTTGCGAACCAGACAAGAGACAATTAAATTAAATTAATTTGCTCTGGATGAAAATAACGAGGCAAAACTTGATTGTAACTATCAATGATTAAAATTAAGGGTAAATTAGAAGAGCAAGGAACTTGCCTTTGGGCAAAACAAGCTGAACAGCCAAACAAAAGAAGAAGAAAAATGAAGACAAAACAAAAAACAACTTTTTCATGTTAATGTTAACTTGAACAATTTGAATTAATATTTTGAATGGAAAACAATTTTAAATGTTTCAACTGAAGTGACATTTTGAAGTTCATTAATAGGAAAACAATTACAAATGATTTAATGGTTAACATTTCAATAATAATCCAATTCACTTTCACTGTTCACCAACATTGTCAACACCAAATTGAATGAGCAATTACAGATTTTACCTTGAAAATTTCATTCCTTTTTCAATAATGAACAATTTAAATGTTAATCAATTAATCAACTGTAATTTGATTAGTAACTGTCAATTGAAAATGGAAATGATTATCATGCAATTTCAGGCATCAATTGAAAAAAAGCAAAAGTAGAAAAGTCAAAGTCGAAACTAAATTGTCTGGAAAACGATTCTTCTCCAATCATTTGACCGCAATTAACTTCTTAATCAAAATCAATGTTTAATTTGAAAAGCAAAAATATGAAAACAATTTAATAATAATTTGTAAACCCATTGAAGCAAATGATGAAAATGAATAAATAATGAAAAAAGTTGTCAGCAATGAAAAGAGGAAATAAAATGGCAATAATTTAAATTAAAAGCCATTACTTTTGATGCCATTTAACGCTGTTTTTTTTAATACTGATTGTTGGTTAAATTATTTCTCTGTGATTTATGATTAAACATTTATATTAGCCATTAATAATTGTCTAAAGCTTTTTGCTTTAAACAATTAAAACAACATTGTAACTAAACTTGATTAACATTGATTTAACCATATTTCCGTTTCATTGAAACATTTAATTGTTGTTGTTAATTAATGTCAATGATGGAATCAAAAATTAATGTTGAAAAAAAAAGGATTTTCATTTGTTTTAGATTCACTATTTTTCCCAGGTAAATGTGACTAATTTAATGGTTATTGGGTTGAAAACGATAAATGAATCTACGAACATTTGAGTGAATCAAATTTCATGTAATTTCATTGAATGTTATCATTAGCATGTTTTTTTGCCCAATTATTTACATTTTTTTACATTTCCCTTTGATTAATGATTGAATCTGTCAGGTTGAGAGGGAAAACTAGAAGTTGAAAGGAAAGCAACAAATTTTGTTATTAATCAATCAAATTATTTGTTTTCAGTTTTAATTAACAATTAGAAGAAGAGAAAAGATTGAGATGAAATAATCAGAAATCGTTTCTTCTCATGGTTAATATTCAATTCATCTTTGATCACCTTATTGCCGGGTTTACCTTTACATCATTATTAACATAATGATTACCATTGGAATATCTTTTGTTTTGCTTTTTCTTTCCTTTTCTTTGAAACTTATGTTTTCTCCCAACTTTAATCAATCGTTGCATTTGAAATGAATTTGTTGATGTTTCTGTTGATAGATTGATCAATCATTATTTTGGCAAGTTAAATGATCTTAATTAAGATCATCGATCTACTGTCAAAGTGGTTTTTGATTAACGTAAACATGTAACAAAGATGATGCTACAAGTGAAGGGAAAAAAGGTAACAAGAAGAGAAAGATATTTTCAATTTGAATGTTCCTCCTTTTTCTCACTCTTTACCTTCTCTTACCTTTCCTCATCTTTTATCCTTCACCAGCATCATTATCATCATAATCATCATCATCATCCTCCATCAGTAAAACTGCCAATTGAATCCTCACAGTTAACAGCTAGCAAACTTGTGTATACATTACCATAATTCATTGACCAGTCTAATAATAGCCCAATATTAAAGTCTAACATTGATTCATTGGGCCATTTAGATTATATGTATTCATTGTAATAATACTTTGATTGACTAAAAAAGCCATTTTCTAAGTTGGCTTTAGGCGCCAGTGGATCTGGTTAATTCAAATGGACATTGGATTCTCATTGCATTGTGGTTAAACAATTGGCTTGCCCTTTCAAAATCTGATTCTGATAATCATTTCAATCAGTGTTGCTTACAAACTGGATTGAAATATTTTAAAACTTTAGTCAAAGTCAAGTTCAATGGTTATAAAGCAAGACAAATCAGTAAAATTATTAAAAATCGGGTTCAATCTTGAAAATTTCACAGATTTTTAGTTCCATGATTTTTGCTGTTTATTAGATTTACAGACTTTGAGTTGGATTCTTATGCTAGCTTAGTTTTATGTCATTTTGGATGGATATACATCGAAAGGTTGAGTGATCTTGCAATGACCATATCGATGAGGATCGATCTGTTGACCAAAACTGGTTCGAGTATGAAATGTGTCATTTTACATTTTTACTGAAACTTTTTAAATGTTGAAAATATTGATTTTCAGAGAAACTGATTGAAACCAGAGTCCAAATACTGATCTTGTGTTTGGTTAGCTACAAATTGCGCAGTTTATGCAAAAAGTCATCGAGTCATTTTCCTAGTTTTATATGAACAGCTTGACATTTATGTTGACCCATTTGGTTCAACTTTTTAATTTAAAAACCAGGATTTACTTTTGGTCATTAACGATGGATCAATCGGTGTGCGAAAATGATCATTTGTTGAAATTAGAGTTGATCGCGATTCTCTTGATTGTATAATAAAATTATGTTGCTCATCTTACCTGAACTCTTGCCTCGGCTAGATCAAGTTTAGATGCAAGGGATTCCCTCATGAATACATCTGGATAATGAGAGGCTTCAAAGGCTTTCTCCAGTTGCTCCAGTTGCCATGAATTGAAATTGGTTCGGGTTCGACGTCGCTTAGAACTGCCATCTTGCGAATGATCATGATCATCATCATCAACCAAACATCTACCCATGTTGGAATCAGTTGATGAAGTACTTCGGTTACTGTGATTGGAAAGGTCAGAGTTACCGTTAAGATGGTGATGAATTACACTCAATGGTCCAGAGTTAATGGTATTGGTTAAATTGTTGATCAAAACATTTGAACCAGAATTGGAACCGTGAAGTCGACTATTAAGGTGAATCTGTTGTTGAGATTGAGACTGTTGAGACTGTTGATGGTGAACATGGTGATGAGCGTGTTGTGATGATGATTGCTGTTGATGATGTTGATTGTTCCCACTAGAATTATTACTTTTATTAACACTATTACTATTATTACTATTGTTACTAACATTATTATTATTACTATTACTATTTGAATTATTTGAGTTGGAATTTGAACAATTATTATTATTATTATTTGCAGGATTACTTGAAGCACTATTATTATTACTTGGATTTCGATCTTTAATTATCATCGGATGATAAGCACAATCACCTGGAAGATCTGAGCATCGACATGAACCCAAGAAGCCGGTTCGCGAAAGAGGATGTTCAAGACACCTCAAAGTGTGTCCACCGGGTTGAGATGCCGATGAATAACCCAAAGCTTTAAGGCCTGGAAAAGGTTGACAGAAAAGGTTTTTAAAAGGTAAAATAATGAAAAATTTAAAAGAGGTGAGAAATGATGAGAAATGACAAAAATTCAATCTCTAAATCAGTTGAGAGGGAAAAGGTGAAAAACGTTGCATTTTCAGTAAAATTGACTCTTGCCAGAGGCAAAGACTCGAGTTGCTAAGTTTTGACTTTTGTTTCACTTAACATTTGCCAGCTTTGCCTCTTCAACATTCAACATTCACTATCCTAGAGTTTTGACATTGAAGTTATGCATTTATGAAAGGTAACTTGGCACACCTAACATGTAACAAGATATATTTTTGTGTTTTTTTTTGTTTTACCTTTTTAATGTTGAGAGTTGTTTGATTTGCTTTCATCTTTTGTCATTTTTTTTTTTTACCTCTCAATCAAAGGCTATTTCAATGGTTAATTGCATTCTTACCTTGGAATGGATAGCCGGTTAAAAAGGGCCAAATGCTCAATGGATTTGTTGCCGACATTGTCTTTGTTGTAGTCTGATGTTTATGCTTATCAATGGTTATTTGCAATCAAATACTATCGATACTTTGCACTGAACAAATTAACATGAGATTCATTGAGAAATTGTTGAAAACTAAAGTAACACTTGAAGTGGCTAACTGGACAAAACACTGAAAACGAGAAAACTGGTGAAATTAATAATCCAATTCAATTGTGATTCAAAGCACAATCCAATATTTGAATCACAAATTTGCAAAAATTAAAAGCAAATTAAACAAAAATTTCACATGAAAATATGAACAAAGTAAAACTTTAATCACTATTGAACTTTACACTTTTCAAATTTGATTCAATTTTTTTCAATTTGATTTGACAATTAATTGTTGACTGTTGACTGTTGTTGTTGTTTATGTTGCTCTGTTAGTACTGATTGTTTCACGTTTGATGATCTTATTGTGATTTGTGTTATTTCATTTACTATTAACTGTTAAGTTGTTGTGTTGATCAACAATGAACAAAAAAAGGTTAAAATGTAAATAATGAGATTCGTTTAACATGAAGAGTCTATCCTTTAATACGTTCATTGGTTACTATTAAATTGAAGGTGGTTACAATCAACTACAGAACTGGTTTCCATTGGACTATCATAAATACATTAAGGCGGTGACAAAAGTTGAATATAACAGTTTCCAGTGTGCTTGTTAGGGTGGGCCATTGAAACGTTTATGGGTTCAAATTTTGGTTCATTTTATGGACTTGGTTCAAGTCACTTCTCATCACTCAGTCTCCATCTAGTGAGATTCGTTCATACAATTGCATCACAAATTACACTTTTCAACTTGAATTTGCTTTCGAGCTTTCATTTGAAATTTTTTTTCCATTTTCTGTTGAAAGTTATGAAAATACTTAATCAGTCTTTCAATTGTCTTGACTAGCTACCAATTCAATCTTATCCATCTATTGATTTGTTAATTTATATTGGTCAATGTTTTACTATCCAAACCCAAGTCACCATTAAGGTTAATCTTTTTTTATTTTTGCCTTTTTTCTTAATTTTAAGTTTGACGAGTTAATGATTGCTAGGAAAAATTCAAAGCTACTGAAAAATCATCAAAAATTCTGAATCATTTAACTCCTCTAATTAGGTTTGTTTGATTAACTAATGATCCAACTTGGATGATAGTTATAGTGCCATCTGCTAGACCAATACACTACTAGATATTGTAAGTTAACTTAAGTCCACCAGATGGTAATGATAGCTTTTAAGGCGCCACTTTTGATATTTAATTGAATGGTTGAACAAAGAGCATTAAATGGAGACTGGAATTTCCTATGGAGATCAATTTCTCGATTAATTGACTAACGTCTGATGTTTTCTTGAAATTGATAAAATGGACTAATAATCCAATATACAAAATTTGAAAATCATTGAAAAATTATGAATAAATATCAAAATGGGGAAAATTAAATTCTGTATTTATAATTCGGCAACAGAGTTTAGTAAAGAGTTAATTTCTTCGACTGAATCTAGGAATTTTTATAATTTCTTTTCAATTCAAAATTCTGCTTATTTCTATTTCTGATTCATTTGGGATTTCTCATTGATATAACCTTAAAAATTTTTGTTTTACATCCCAATCCGTGCATCGACAGACACTTGAGCGTTTCTTTGTCTTACTTGTTAGAAAGAAATGAAATGAAATGAAACGATAAAATTAATCAATTAAAAGTTGATATATTTCCAGATAATAATCTCTGATTATGATTATTGACAAGTTGAATTTTACAAGTTTTGCAGGTTGAACAATGGCCACAATTGACCAACAACCATAGTCAGATTAACATTTATAAACTCTTGTTTTGGCACAAATTATTTTTAAAATTATTTTGTTTTCATAATGAAAACTCTCTATCAATCAAATAAATTAAAATGGTAAATTGTTAATCATTACAGTTAGAAAGAAAAAAAAATTACATCTTAATTATTTACAATAAATTAATCGGAAGAGTTTCATTCAATTTAATTTTACAATTAATTTAAACTGTTCTCTTCCCTCATTTTTCACTTCAAATTATTTGAATCTTTATTTACATTCATTATTTCAATCAAATAATTCATAATCAGATTATTGTTAAATATCATTTAGTTTCTCAATGATTTCTCATGATTAACTAACATTATTAACATTCAATCATCAATAACATTTTAAATTGCAACTCAAACTATTAGAATCATAATAACATTATTTAAATATTGACTATTCTCAATGAATTAGTTGATGTTTAGTTTCATTTATTTTGTGATCTTTCAAGTTCTTTATAAGATGAAAGATAAATTGAAAGTTGATTTTGTTGATTGTTTAAGATGATAATGAATAAAGCTTCAATGGTCATAATCATGACACTGAATCCAAATGGACATCATTTTCTTGATCAAAAGGTTGACTCGAATCTTGCTGTCCCTTTCCCTTGAAATAATCCAAATAATTATTGAACCAGGCAACCAGATTAGACGAACGGAAGAGGAGCGACCAAATGATATTAATTAGTGATGTTTGACATTAAATTTTGGCAAATTTTGGGCAACATAATGTCATTAATGTCTTGCCTTTTGTTGAATGTCTAGTGATCAGAACATTGAAGAGGAATCATTTCACCAGATTGATTATTCTTGTTGAGTAGTTTATACTGACTGATCATGAGGATCGATTCATTGATTAGTTGAGATCGATTTTGAAAAGCAGTGAGAAATATGGTGAAAAAGGTTGAATGTTTGGATAAAATGTGCAATAATTAATGTAAAATGAATAAGGTTGACTTGGAGGGAAAGGCTGTTAACCTAATTAATTTGGGTAAAAACAACTAAAATCATTGTAATAGTTGATTGGTTTGATGAAAAAGGGTAACTTAAATAACCAATTGATTTCTTGCATTACATTGTTAGTTAATCGGACTATCTATTGATTGAGAGTGAATATTGGGATTGATTGACTTTTATTTTCATTTCTAGAGCAATTTTACTGACAATTAAATTTATCAATCATCAATAATAACGAGTAAACTTGGAGTAAAAAATGATTCAACTTGAAAGTGGATTGTTGAAGGAAAAGGTTGATTTGATTATTGCTATCTTTTTGTCAGAACTATTTTCAATGATTTGAATTCAGATTGAGGAACATGTAAAAAATAATGTTTTCCCTGTTAACAGCAATTTACAGCAGTTTGAAGCAAATGTAAAACTGGACTGATTAGTCGATATTAATCGGGTTAAAAATAATCTGTAAATTATCAATTGAGTGAGCAACTTCAATAACAATCGACATTCGAGTGATTTGATTATCGATGTAAACATGAAGAAATCTTTTTTTGTGAAAAGGTCAAAGACACTAAAAAGGCAGAGTGAAACGGTGTTACTGGATCGATAAGTTACTGGATCAATATTGGACTGGAAATGAGTTGAAATTTGCTTGTTTTTCCTTCCTCATTGTGTTACTAGAAATTTTCGTTTCATGATATGTTTACTGATTCATTTGACAGGCTGCTAAGTTTGGGTTTTTCACACTGAAAATAATAATGAAATAATCAACTGTGAAATCAGGATTATCTTTTGATTAAAGCTGAAGAGTGAAGGTGATTAATTGAAGTTTTTGTTTTCACACAAAATCTGCTTCAATTAAATTTGAGGAAACATTTTGAAAGATTGATTATGTCAGAAAATGAGATTGAATTGGTGGGAAAAGTTACATGGAAAGATGAGTTATTGTGATTCGAAAAGGAAAGGCACTCATCATTATTATTATGATTCTTGACTATTTGTCTCCTCCCTGATTATCATAAAATTATCCCTCTCAATTAACTCAATAGATACATTATATTGCCAATCAAATGATAAAAGATGACAGTCTCGGTTAACTTGCTGTAATGGAAGAAATCAAATGATAAGATGAATTAATAGTGGATTTAAGGGGTTAAACATAATAGAGATTTTACAAGAGTTGATTAATTAACTGTTAAGAGTTAAGTGTACTTCTAAGTCTGGGCTGCTTTTTGTTTTACCTCGCGATTCACTGTTCAATTTAAATGTAATCAACTAATGGTTTCTCCATTTACCCTTTGAAACTAGATTTTTAGCCTTCATGAAAGCATTTGAAAGTCTGGAAGAGCTGGTGAAATGATTTATTGGTGATGATGAGGGTATTGATGATCGAGTCTGAGAAGTGTCCAATAAAAATTTAACTGAATCACGTCTTGAATCATTTTTTTCTTCATCTAATGATGTCTCCTCGTACATCAGACCAACATCATTATTCTCTGTCTCTTCTTCTTCCCCTTCATCATCCTCCTCCTCCTCCTCTGAACTCACTTCATCATCACTGTAATGATAATCATTTTCATCATTGACTTCTTTGTGACCAGTAGCACCTAATTTCTCAGTTTCTTTGTTCTCATCTTCCTCTTCACCATTATCACCATTTCTTGAAGAGGATAACTTTTCTTTTAATTGTTTCCTTTTTGATCGATAATTGTAGGATGTCAAGAAAGATGGTGCAAAACCAGCCATGGAAGATGAGCTTTTATGAGCAACCATTTCATCGGTGCAACTTTCTTCATGCCATTCATCTTTTTCATCGATAGGCAGTAGCAGAGAAGTCGGTCGACCCGAAGGCACATAATGTCCTCGTCTCCGTCGATGAGCTAATCGATGGCGTCTCTTTCGATTGATTTGGAATTGCCAAGGATTAGGAGCAGTTGGACAAATGGGTGTGAAGGAAGAGGAAGGAGATGAAGACGAAGGAGAAGGAGAAGTTACTAAGGTTGATGAGTCAGGTTGATGAGGCTGGTCAGTATATGAGCTTGAGAGCAATGGCGATGATACAGAGGTATTTGAAGATGAAGCAGCAAAAGAAGACTGTAAAAAACCGGAAATAATTGATGGACTCTTTGAAGAAGATGGTGATGATGAAGTTGACGGTGAGCAAATTTTGGCTGATAAATTTCGAGTTGAACAAGAGCTAGTTCCTGAGCTGTTGGTTTCATCATCATTTCCGTTTATTGAATGTTTGCAGATGCAATGTTTATGAAGGACACAACCTGAGCCAAGGTTAAGGTCAGTTTTGAACAAACTGGACTGTAAAAGAGAAAGAAAAAGGATAAGAATTAAATGTTCAAGACTTGATAGGGCAACGAAAATAACTTGAAGTTAAAATGAAAGTCAAGCTGTTAATAATCATAATCATAAAAAAATAAGTTCATTTCGTTTAGAAAGATTCTCATTGCAGATATAAACTTATCAATTAACCTTCTGCATATTCTTAACCTCAGATTTGAAATACAATTAGTCTCGCAACATTTTGCTGTATCGGAAACTTGGGTGTTAAGTTTTTTTATAGCAGTAAATGCTACAATCAGCTAGTACTGTGATAAGTTTCTAACTAGCTTTTTCATTCATGGCTGGTTTATTCATTTCTAGAATAAGTATACACGTTGATTGCTTATAAACGATTACAATTATCTCTTGGATATGCTATTGATTTGGTTAATTATTAATACAATATTATTATCTGCATTGTGGCTCCTAAATTAGGTCTCACCATGTTATTATCAATCGTATAAATATTTCAATCGATAATTCCATGTGAATGAAATGTTGTAATATTTTTCATGCTTATTGAGGTTATTTTTTGTTTTGTTTTGTTTTTTTGTAGTAAAACTATAGCAATGATAGTAATAATACTATAGTAAAATATGAAAGAAAGGTAAAAAATACTATCTTGATTGTATTATACTATCATACTTCATAAATCATTAGCTTTTATAGTATTCTAAAGGCTTTTTTGTAATTTATTGATTTTCTAATAGCTGGAAGTTACTCTGAAATATTATTTAAAATGTAACAATTATATCAATATACTTCGACTGATGAATTGAATTTTGTGATTGAATGATTATTACAGGAATCTTCCTAAATAGCAGTTCTCACCTCGGAAGATACTGTTGGTGTACTAACAATGGGCGATGAAGCTGCTGAAATAGGACTTTGACCAGTAACCTCGTAACCAAATGAATCATAGTTACGTGCCCAGACAGCCCGTTGCTCTCGAAATACTTCGGTAACTGGAGAGACTGGACTTGTTATGGGTGAAATGAAAAATGGATTGTTGCCTAAAGGTGAGTTGATAGAACCCGTTGTACTGGAAGAAGATGATGAAGGTGAAGGAGAAGTTACCAGCGATGACCTGCTGTGGTGATGGTGATGATGATGGTGACCTCCAACTGCAGATACATGATTTCTCAGAACAGTTCCAGTATCGATTCCACCTTGGCTCGTTTGTTTCAATCGCAATATCTTGGCTCGACAAATGACACACCTCAAAGGAAGCAGTCTCTGACTAACAGCAACCTGGATAGTTTTAACAAAACATTTACGGCAAACAACTCGATGACCACAAGGAAAAGTTTGCATTGTCGCTTTGGCACTTATACAAATGACACACTAGAATAAAAGGGAAAAAAGAAGCACGAAGTTAGATTTGAATAACAAAAGACGAAAAAAATTAGACCAAATTATGTTACACACAAGATAATGAAAAAAAATGGCTCCATTACCGGGCCATAAACCAGTGGTTAAGCCAGTTTCGGCTTCAGGTCATTAATCACATTTTCACGATTTCGATTCGGAACATTTCAATCGAAAAAACAATAAATTCAAAAACTAACATCGTGACGATATAGCTTCGGAATCTAATATCGTCTAAAAGCTTCGTTTAAAATTCAATGCATGTTTGACTTTGAAGCGGGAAAATGAAAAGCAGCTTTAATCAGCGCCATCTTAACGCTTTAAGAGGAATCTTTTTCTTAGCGAAAGATAAACAATTCATCTTTCTTTTTAATTAATTATTTTCTTCGTCAGATGGCGACTAAAAACTGCATCAAATGATTTAAAATCATTGATTTTCCTCATTACGCCTCTAATTTTATATTGTGATTAACGTTTATAAATTGTTTTTATTAAGTGATTGTTCAATCTGTTTAATCTTGTTTCAGCTAACTTTCTGTTTAATCTACATGTATAATTTATCGTATTCAGTCATGATCGCAGCCTGTTGTTGCTTTAAAATGTGAACTCAATCCAAGCAATCTGGTTAAGTCTATATTCAAATTATCCTGGTAATTTATCAAATTAGAGTTACCAGAGTTTAAGTCGATGAAAATTGAATTTTTTATCTATTCAACCTAATCTAACCCATTATGTTTCGTATACAATAGCTTAATTTAAATTCTTTTCATTAATCAAAATCATGATTGATTCTCCAATTATTAAGGTAAGGCGCAAAGACTTTTTTATTTACAAGGAGAAATTAATTTATCATTGTCAACCTGGATTGAAAATTAATCGTGTGAACCTCGTCTGGGTAACCAATCATTTTGTTAACTCTTTTTTACTTTTTTATATCTTATTAGATTTTCAATTGTTATCGGTCTGTATTCATCTTACCTCTTCATCAGGAGTTGAAGCCAATTCTGAATCATGTTCCTCCAATTTATTCAACAACTTATCCTGTAATCAAAAAAGAAACAAGAAAGATGGACAAAAAAACGTGAGTAGAAGAACAATTTTTCAATAAAAATCTATAAATTATTAACCAATTATTCTTTTAATTTGTAGCTGGCCATAAATGACCAATAAGCCAACCAAGTTTCATCAATTTGAACAAAGTATTGATTGAGAAAAGGATTGGACTAAACTGGATTGCCTTTACCAGCTTCATCTTGCGTGTTATTTTCAAGTCAACCTGTCAACCCAAAGCCTTTTATATCCATTTTTGATTGAGCCTTGGTCAATGAACAAAAGTTGGACAAAGAAATGCAAAAAAATTTGATTTCGAGTTAAGATGTGGGTTTTGTTGGTAGGGCAGGTAAACCGAGCCCATTAGTGCTATTAAAAAATCTATCCAATGGACAGAACTCACAACTCGAAATCAAAATTTTTTCCGCTTTAAAGTACTTCTGTAAATGTCAATCGCATCAAGTATTAGATAGAGTCAAGTTGAAAGCAAAGTAAATATAATTATCGTTATACCTATCGATGGCTTCTCAATTGTATTTGTCCACTTTCATTGAGATTCATCCTTATTCAACCTACTTTGGTCTGATCAAATTACTCCACTTAATCCTGGATTACAATTAAATGAAATTGTTTTCAAAGTTATGGGTTTTTTCGCTCATTTAATAATGTAACTGTGGTTGTTGTAAATGTCAACCAAAAAGATATCCACCCAATAATCATGATTATCTGATCAATTTCTGATTTTCACTGTGATGTCTAAGAAATATTAATGAAAGTGAAACTTGATCTGACAATTTACATCATAAACCACAATTTGATCATTAAGACTGAAAACCATTGTTAATATCATTTGCTCACGAGAATCCCGATAACATGAAAAAAGATGGACTCAACTAATTGTTACCAAAACACCCAAAAGTCCAGTTACCCCTTAGGTTGGCCGGATACAGTTTAGGGTCGAGTTTTATTTTATTGAAATTCATGTGATTATCGCACAGTGATGAATATTGGTACTTAGCATTTTACAATATCCATGCATTTTTTGCAGTTAACAAAAATTGATTATCTCAATTAATTGCTGAGATATTCTAATTTAATTGAAAAATGGGAAAAATTTTTATGCCCTATTCTTTAACATTGATTTAAATCAAAAATACAGTTTTGCAAAGGGTCCCCCCTTTGGACATTTTTCACTTTTTTAGCGTTTTTTCGCAATTTATTTTTTCCCATTTTT